GATAGTGGGATCATGGCGATGATGAAGAGAAGAGGTGAAAGTGAATCATCCTGGAAAATTCCTCGCTTGATATTAACCATTCCATAGTATTATTATTATTTACTGAATACCTGTCCCATGTCCAATAATTATTTTCAGAATGGGGAAGAAGATTATTCTAAAACAAGATATATGACTGATCCCTTATCTCAATATGTAGGCAATGTGTCACAGATCTCTTACCAGTGTTCAATGGTCACATGAAGGTCTCCCGATCCTTCAGTCTTTTGGATCTTGGGCAACTTCTTCACATCACTGGCTTCCGCTCCATTGGATACTGAGGCTTCTGCTTGAGGGATCTTTGCCTTCCTTTTCCGCCCTTTTGGAGGCATTCTGCAAGTGAAGGCAAGAAGAAAGAATATTACATTTGTATTTTTGGATTACAGATTTCAGTATATGTAGATTTTTCTGGGAAGAACACATCAAAGAAAGAATGCTTAGAGAATGTTTATCTATTATGCAATCAGTCTGATTTACTGATGATAACTCTCATTTGAAATCCATTACTGTCTCTTCTGCCTTTTGTCTTTTCACAGGAAAGTGAAAAGAGTAGATAGAAAAACTGCATATGCTCTGCCTGGAACTATCCAGAAAAAAAAAGCCAAAGAGCCTTGATTTATTGAGTTCAGAAATGCAAAAAGTGTTGCCAGAGTTCATCAGCATTTCTTTTGTCCTCTCAAGTATTTTATTTAGTAGCACTTGATAGGAATTAATATATGCTTAAAGGCCTTTAAATCTCCAGACCCTTTCATGCCATGGGAAGCCTGGTGATGCTCTTCAATTAAGGAATATGACTCCTTATTTAGTTCATGTTGTCAACTCCAATTCCCAACCAAAACCATCTAGATATTTTGAAATGTAACTTTCTAGGCTAGCTGAAAATTATGAGAATTGTAGTTTCACATTGAGAAAAAATGGGGGAATTAGGGATTTCCAAACTACTGGCTGCAATGGTCCAGGATTTTCAATAGTCCTATCAAAGTGTACTTTGATTGTAGGCAATGAAATTCAATTTTTCTCCATGCTTTTGCTAGTGAGCTATACCAATGACTTTTCTCTTAACAGCAAAATATGAATTAGCTACAAATAGCACACCCTGATGCCATTACAGGATGACTAAAAAGTCTTTGAAACCCAGTATTGTACAGGTAATCTTCAACTTACAATAGTTCACTTAGTGATTGTTCAAAGTTACAATGATGTTGAAAAAAAGTGACTTAGGACCATTTTTCACACTTAAAACTGTTGCACTATCCTCATAATCACATGATCAAAATTTGAATGCTTGGATTCAAAGCATACCTGACTCGTATATATGACAGCTGCAGTGTCCTGGGGTCATGTGATCACTTTTGTGATCTTACAAGTAAAGGAGGAACCCAGATTCACTTAACAACCATATTATTAACTTATCAACTGCAGTGATTCACTTAACAACTGTGGCATAAAAGGTAGTAAAATGGGGCAAAATTCACTTAACAGATGTTTCACTTAACAATAAACATTTTGGGCTCAATTGTGGTCATAAGTAGAGGACCACCTGTATTAAAAAATCACTCAATTTTTAGCAGAGAGCGTATTGGGTTTGTGTGTGTTGTTACCCACAATCTTTTCATCAAAAGAGAAAGCAAGGCAAAAAAAGATTATAAATGATCATGGTTTGTCTAACCAATTTATAAGCAAAGGAGACCCCTAGTTTGATAATGTTGGGATTTGCTAGGCAGACCAGGGTTCAAATTCCCATTCATTCATACGGGGCTCACTGGATGAGATGCTTGAGCGCTGGGAGAAAAAGGATGAATGGATACAAATGCAACGGAGAAGGACAGAAACAACAGAATCATCTTTGATAACGATAAAGAGAAATGGCAAGATCCATTAAATAAAAGCAGAACAGAATCGGTCCTCGTTGGAGAAGACAGAAAAACGAACCGCAGATAAATTTGCAAAGAAAACCATTTAAAAAAGCATTTAAAAAACATCGCGGCTCTGGAATTGCGGGGAAGAGATCCATCCTGCTCTCAGATTTAGAGGGAGAATTAAACTGAGAAGCCAAAGAATACGACTAATAAGAGAGCAACCTCCAGGTTTTCTAAAAGCGAAGCTACGTTGCTTGCTTTTTTATTGCAACCCATACGGCGGGCAGCTTATTATGTTCAAGAAAGGAAATCTCCCGCAGTTTCAACCATTAGCGCTGGACTGGAAGGGAATGAGGTGCATTAACGAAAAACCCGCAAAAGGAAAAAGAGCACACACACCCCTCCCCGGGCAAATATAGGGAAGAGCCTTCCTGCCTCACCTTCCAAAGCGGCGGCGGCGACGAAGCCACCACAATCTCGCGCCTCCCGACTGACCCGCGCGCCAAACCCTTTCGTAAGATGGCCGCTACGCGCCCGCCCGCCAGACGGGGCGTTTTGAGTGACGTTCCGTAACAACCAATCACGACTGGCTTTCGCAGGGCTGCTGTCTTAGCTGGGCGCGTGTTCTATTGCACGTGGAGGGGAGTGGGGGTTAGCAAAGGCGGCGACTTTTCTATGGGTGGGTAGACAGAAGTCAGAATCCCGGCCGGTCTAACCTGGTGGGCGGGGCAGGTAGCGGCGCCTGTCACTTAAAGGGGCTGCGCTGCGGGTTGGACTGGCGCTTCCGGAGAAGGTACCATCCTGCATTCCGCTGCTCTTTGAGCATCTTTTGTTTGTGCGGTAGTTATTCCGCTCCATTCACGGAGGTATCTTTTCTGCTCTTCGGGGTCGCCCTCAGCTTCGCAAGAGACAATAATTGAATCCAACTTGCAGCCCCGTGGAGAATCTTGCAGTATAAGTCGTTCTCGAGTTACAACAGTTCATTTAGTGACGGTTCAAAATTACAACAGCAATGAAAAAAAAGTGACTTGTGACCGACCTTTGCATCATCCCCATGATCGAGTGATCTAATTTCAGATGCTTGGTAACTGGTTCATACTTATGACTGTTGCTGGGTTCCACGGTCCTTTTGAGACCTTCTGACAAGCAAAGTCAATGGGGAAGCCAGATTCACTTAACAGCCGGGTTGCTAACTTATCAACTGCAGTAATTCACTTAGCAACTAGCAAGAAAGGTAATAAAATGGGGCAACGTTCATTTAACAAATGCTCACTTAAAATAATTTTTGAGCTCAATTGTGGTTGTAAGTCGAGAACTACCTGTAGGATATGCTGCCCAGCAGTCTAACAAAAGGAGACTACATAATTTGCCTTCTGAGAAAATCTCCTGTCAGACCCCACTTATTGGCTGAGTTCATACAATAAATTTAATAATTTGGTATTTGGTATTTTATTAAATTTATATGCCGCCCTTTTCCCTGGGGGGGACTCAGGGCGGCTTACAACTTAAAAAGGGAAGGGGGAAAAACAAACTTTGGACATATAGAACAATACAATTTTAAGAACACAACATTCATACCATTCGGGCGGGTTACAATCTTAGTCCCAGGCCTGACGGGATAGCCAGGTTTTAAGTGCTATGCGGAAGGTCTGAAAGGTGGTGAGGGTACGAATCTCCACGGGGAGATCGTTCCATAGGGTCGGAGCTGCTACCGAGAAGGCTCTCCTCCGCATGGTCGCCAGTCAGCACTGGCCAGCAGATGGAACTCAGAGGAGGCCTAATCGGTGAGATCTGATAGGTCGCGTGGAGGTAATCGGCAGTAGGCGGTCTCTCAAGTACCCAGATCCACTACCATGGAGGGCTTTATGGGTGGCAAGTAGCACCTTGAAGCGTATCCGGAGATCAACAGGTAGCCAGTGCAGCTCGCGGAGGATAGGTGTTATGTGGGTGAACCGAGGTGCACCCACAATCGCTCGTGTGGCCGCATTCTGGACTAGCTGAAGTCGCCGAACACTCTTCAAGGGCAGCCCCATGTAGAGCACATTGCAGTACTCCAGCCTAGAGGTCACAAGGGCACGAGTGACTGTTGTGAGAGCCTCCCGGCTCAGGTAGGGTCGCAACTGGTGCACCAGGCGAACCTGGGCAAATGCCCCCCTGGTCACAGCTGACAAATGGTGTTCAAAAGTCAGCTGTGGATCCAGGACTCCCAAGTTGCGGACCCTGTCTGAGGGGTGTAGTATTTGACCCCCCAGCCTGAGAGATGGAATATTTGCCGAATTGGAGGGAGGGAAACACAACAGCCACTCGGTCTTATCTGGGTTGAGCACAAGTTTGTTAGCCCTCATCCAGTCCCTAACAGCTTCAAGTCCCTGGTTCATCACGTCCACCGCTTCATTGAGTTTGCACGGGGCGGACAGATACAACTGGGTATCGTCCGCATACTGGTGGTATTTTATCCCGTGCCGCCGAATGATCTCGCCCAGCGGTTTCATGCAGATGTTAAAAAGCAGGGGGGACAGGACCGAACCCTGCGGCACCCCATATGTTAGGGGCCTAGGGGTCGATAACTAACCAAACTAATGAGAATTGATGTACAAAATCAGCAATTGACTTATAAGGCTCAATTACAACTACAACTATAGTTAGCTTATGTCCATATAAATTATTAGAAAGTTTAAATAACAGACAAGACAAACAGCCAGTTTGGTTTAATGGTTAGAGCATAAAACTGAGTTCAAGTCAGGCCTTAACCATGAAAGCCAGCTGGGTGACCTTGAGCCAGTCATTCTCTCAATTCACCCCATAGGATTGTAGTTGCGGGGAAAATAAGAGGTGGTGGATATCTTCACTGCCTTGAGTTATTTTTTTTACAAAATGGTAAAGGTGAGATATAAATAAATAAATAATTAAAATCAAGTTAATAAGATTGCTCATATTGGAAAAACATATAAATCAGTAAGCAGGGCTAGAAGCTGCCCTGTGGAAAAAGCCAGATGCCCAAGATTCTAATAGGATTGAGACAATACAGAATTCAGAGGAATGTTGTTCCGTGGAGTATTGTTTATGGGTCATTGTGTTGTGGAAACTCTTTCTCCTAATATTGAGCTGAAATCTGTTACTCTGCTATTTCCATCAGTTGATTCTAGTCCTATCTCTGGGGCCATAAAGAACATCCTGTTTGTCTCCTCCAGAAAAGAGATGGGTGGTTGAAGAAGACTTGCTCCTTGCCTCTGTTAAAATAACATCAGATCCCAGATAACATATCTCTTTCATTTGCCACTGAACAGTTTTGTTTTTGTACTGTTATATATTCTGAGAACAAGAAGGGCATTAGCACTTCTGAAAGAAGCATGTCTTTCCATCTGTCAAATCAGCAGAATCCATACTACTAAGAACAGGAATTCTTATTTAAATAGATGGAGGATTAGAACCAGGATTTAGTTAATCCTTTTAATGCAAAACCTGGTAATCTGCTAGGAATGAGATGGGCTACAAATATTGTGAAATCTATATATATAAAAGCCAAATACCACTCGCTCATCACGAAATCTCCAGAACTGTAAAGCCTACAAACTTGAAATTCGTCACGTATGTTCTTCTTGGCTTCTAGGTGCTCGCTAAGAAAGGATTTTTCGAAATGACTCAGTATTCCTTATCCAGTATCATATTAACATGCGTCGATGCTAAGGAGTTAATATTCTATGGTAGCGGAAACTTTGAGTAGTTCGGAGAACCAGTAAATACTACCTGTGATTGGCCCTACCTCCATCTATTCTCTGCCTCCCGAATCCCAGTATATCGTGAGAAATGGGGATTTTGCAGTATCCCTGCAATGGGGTGGGAATGAAGATTTTACAGTATCCTTCCCCTGCCACGCCGACCAAGCCAAGCCCACCAAGCCATGCCACGCCCACATAACTGGTAGTAAAAAAATTTGAATTCCACCGCTGGTGTGAACCCATCCAATGTGAATCTCATTTGCTTTCTGCATATCTTCTATAAATGTACCCTAACAGAAAAAATGAAAGCCTAAAAATGCTGCTGGATAAAGAATGAGCTGAGCCTTGAACAAATTGATTTAAACATTAGAAGTCTGTATTTTTTTAATAAGCCAAAGTCAAACCATGAAGGCAGGAACTCTACCAACAATCTAATGAATCAATAAAAGGTCACAGGAATACAACACTCCCAGATTTATTAAAGGCACCTGTACAAGACCATTAACGGAAGCATGAACATGGATGAACCGTGTTGATTTGCAGTGTTTTCATCTACAGGCAAGCCCTCCATCTTCGGAGTGCAGCAACTAAAAACGCTAGGACAGACTTGCCCAACCCTTGCTCTACCCAGATAGCCACACTGGCTAGGAACGTCTGCCAATGTAGTCCCAGAACATCTGCCATATTAGTTAAACCCTGTTTAGTGCAGTATTAGATGGACGATAGAAACAGCAGTTCTTTCAAGTCAAACAGCTACACTAAGCTACCAGCTGTTACTATAAAAGACAGGAGATCTTTTAAAGCTGTACATTAGCCACTGGTTTTCTGGCACAACTTTAAGTTCAGCAAATATTCCACTATTGCCCATTAGCTTCTAAAGAGAAAAGACCACAAGATACCACAAGACCTTTCTTAATAACAATAACAATGACCACAATAATAATAGGGCAATGGGTAGCGGTAGCAAAACACTGGTCAGAAATGCCAATATCTTCTCAGAGCAAGCCTTCTGGAGTAAATGGAGTTGATTTCATGTGAGATGTGGGTTTTTCCAATTTTACCATTGAAATCATATCGATTAAAACAAGAAATAGATTTACCCTCCTATTACAGTGTTTTCCTTAGCAGCTCCTACTAATTCCCAGAGAAGCAACCTGCATTCCACAGTGATACTCTCCTTGAGGAGGTCACCAAGATTTTCTCTGGCTGGTTCTATCATTTAAATATCAGTAGTGACTCCTGGAAAGAAAATTTGGAACAAAAATACAAAAGAAAATGTAGAGTTCCATAGCCAACAGCAGAGCCCAGAATGATAAATATCTTAGTGATTACACACATCTCCCAGCACCGTCACTGTCGGGTGGAAGCAGTCTTCGGATGACATCCTGGGAGAAATGTCAGGATGGAAACAGAAATGGAGAGCTTAACAGTAAGAGCATTATGGTCCAGTCTTACAGGCACTATTTGTCTTTCTTGCTTTCCCCATTAGGATGCTCTGTGATAGCAGATTGTTCTGAAATTTCCTCAAAGTTCTCATCTGCATTCTTGGATATTTTCTTGGCTTTCTGGTATAGCTCATTCAAGTTGAATTCCCGGATCACATTCTCCTGTAAAAGAAAGATATATGACTGTTGCTTCGTGCCAACCTCTAGTTCCTAATGTGACAACAACTCAGCTTCAATAATTTAGTAATTTATCAGATATTTTACTCAAGATTTTTGCTTACTATCAACTATGGCTAAAGGGAATACCTCAGAAAAGTTCCAAGAAACTGCTCGTCCCTTCTTATCAATCTGTGGCCGGCGCATCACCT